ATATAACCATCATTAAAAACCATGGCAGATAAACCCAGTGCAATACGAATAATTGTTGATGACCAATATCGATGTTTTGGTACCATTGTCCATAATAATGAATGAAATGCTTCGTTGGCATTTTGTGAACCACCCTCAACTACACGTTCCAGACTCTCACGACTACATAGCTCATCGAAGGCCGGTTTAATCATATCCAAACATGGACGCGGAATCGATGACTTGGAGTGATCAGATGTTTGTCCATTAGCTGCTGCTTGTAGATATTGACACCACTCATGCATAGGTTCATCGTTTGTTGAATAGCGATGTTTGAAAATAGCCCATGATCGTTTATACATATTATCGAGATTAGATTTGTTTTCACGGATGGCCTTGCCAAAATAGATCTTAAATTTTATAGCCTGACCATCAGTCATTCGACCTTTTCCATGCAGTTTCTTGCCATCTGACAATATTGTTGTTTTATTATCTTACTTGATCTTGTTGATACGAGCTAACATACGCTTGGCAAAATGGTTAACATCTTCGATTTTCTTTATCTTCACGTCAGAATACGGAGGATTTTCCAGTAAATACTTATGAACCTTGGCATCTCCGTCTCCAATAAATGACGTATACTTGACATCGTACTTGGATACTGAACGACAAAACATTTGGTGTATCAACTCTTTTTCCATTGATCCAGATGCACCTAAAAAAGAGATGTTCTTTTCTATATTCATGTTATACAAACTTACCTTCGTAGTTTATCTGGCAATCGTGTGTTTCTTTGAACATTTCAAACAATTCCGGATCTTGTTGACGAAGACTTTCGGACCCTTGACATTTCGAACACCGTTTAGATAACCAATTTGTATCCAATATCTTTGGGCAACGTGCTGTAGAACACAAAGCAGCTACTCCATGTGCACTGGTGTGACCTCTTGTGAGCCATGCGCCATCTCCACTTACCGTCAATTGTTTATTACCACCACCTTCGAGTACGGCTTCATTTACAGCAACAGCCATAGATTCTTGTTGAGCTCTCGAAACATGATCTATTATATACGTTTGTGTTTTACTATAGTATTCTTCATCCACAGGTGCTGGCAAATTCATGACACCTAGCAATTTCTTAACCCCAGAATGGCCAATACCCGACAAAGTGCCACCAATTGCCAATCTAACATTGACTTCATAACGTCTGGTATCCTGTAACTTAGGTGATGAATGTAAATCGGTGACGTTTCCACAACTGGAACATGTGAATACAAGATGTAGGTATAGTCCATCTCTTCTTTCAATGGATAAAGAGCCGTTCCAACGATTGCTACACCCAATACACAATGTATTTTTCATAAGAGAAATCAAAGACTCCATTTGTGTGATAAAATAACATTTCATGACGTCATCATCACCATGCATAGATGTATTCAAGTTTTGATCTGTAATATTTGATGATGATGTCGAATCAACTTCCATGTTGACCACTTTCGATGCACGAATTCGTCGCATAACTGACGCTTTAGTTTTTTTTCTACTAGGATAAATTTTTTCACTCATGTTACCGGATGATGATAAGGATGATTTTATTTCGAAAAACGTACACTGTATATAAGCCTTAGATATTGTTGCATCTTAGTTTTCTATGTGGAATCTTTTGATCTTAGCAGAACTCAGAGCGAGAAGTCCGATCTTTGCTTTTCTCTTCTGAAAAACCATGAAAAACCCTCATAAAACCAATAAGTCATAGTGCATTCGAAAGTACAGATGATGGGCTATCTAACTATGTATAAATCTCCAAAATGATATTTTTGACGAAAATTGCTTTTTTTG